CAGGAATGCAAGTGGCCTTTGCACTGGTCCTGGAGAAGGGCGAAGGGGGTTCACGTTTGCATGACAGCTCTTGGTGCATGGAATCAGAGCAGATGGATTGAGAAATGCTTTGGAGGGAATTATAGGCGTCAGTGACCAACTGAAGTAAAGGGTAAGAATGAAGGAGGAATCAAAAATGATTTTTGGCCTGAGCAACTGTGTGGTCCGTGGCCCCGGGGCAGAACCTGGAGCAGATCTGGAGTTGAGCTTTGCTAGCTTTGCTCTGGGAGGTTCAGGTGGAGCTGTCAGGCAGGTGATGGGGGGGGGGGGGGCGTGGGGGGGGGTGGGGGGGGGGGGGGGCGCAGGAAGATGTGGCCTAGAGGCATTCCTCTGGGGGCTGGAGAGCCATCTGAAGGTGGTTTATAAAAGCAAGAAAAGAGACAAGCCACTCTGATCCCACACGTAGTTAGTGAGGGGTCCTTACACTGCCCTGGTGCTTCCGTCCTGAGCTGGTGGCTCCACATTGTCCTGAAGCACATGGAGGCTTTGCAAGGGACTGAAGGGACTGGGTCAGGGCTGAGAGCGAGTTTGGCCCCTCAGCTCCCAAGTCAGTCTGGCTGGGCTGATGGGGTCGTTGTCCTGAGCAGTCCCAGCAGGAGCAGAAAAAATGGAGGCACGATGGTCTCAGCCCTTGAGAACCAGAGTTAGTTGGCCACAGCCCTCTGGGTGGGACAGGCCCAGGGTCTGGCCGAGTGTCTGGAGCGAGTGTCAGGTAGGGAAGGAGCTCAGGACTGAGACAACTCTGCGTGTGGTCACACAGGCGCCCTGACAGGTAGACATGTGGAGGGTGGGCAGTGAGGAGAGAGGACAGCGGGCCAGAGGGGCCTCCGTGCCCTTCAGGGTGGGGTAGCCAGCTGTTCCAGACGCTGCCAAGTAGTTGGAGAAGCCGTGGGCGAAAGAGCACCTTTGAGTGGACAGCATGGTGTCAGTGGGGCCAGTTTTGGGGCACAATTGGCTCAGAAGCTAGAGGGGCCCACGATGAGAGTGCAGGGAAGCAGGAAGGAGGGGCAGTGGCCCTTTCGAGAAGGTGTCAGTGACAGGAGGTCTGGAGGGGACCATGGTGCTGAGGGGTGCCATCTGAGAGAAGACGGAGGTTCTCTCTCCTCCCTTCATGCTGGGGTCTGCGCGAGGATGGGGGATGCCAGGGTGCATGGAGCCCGGGCCCCGAGGCAGCAGGAGGGGGATGAGGTCCAGTGCCTTCTGGTAGCGCGGGGGCCAGGGCAGCTGGGTGCGGGTGTGAGAAGAGAGGGAGACGGGACGCATCATGTGATCTGAGCACGCGGAAGTGGAGCCCGCGAGGAGCAGTGGCATTGCCTGCAGCCGGGGACCTGCTGGACTTCCCCACGACAGGCCGACATGAGGTTTTCTAAGCTGACACAAGCCGTGCGGAGAAGAGCCGTGGTCGGGTTCACGCAGGGCTGGGGGCCGTGCCGGGGGAAGGTGGACAGAGGCAGGCAGCCCAGGAGTGAAGCTGACTGGGGCTGAAGGAAGCCAGCCAGGGCTCCCGCTCCCCTCCTGCACAGCTCCCCTGGTTGGAGAAGCTCCGACCCCGGGCACCGGATCATGTGCTCCCGTTGGAGCGGCAGCGGCCAGGCGCCACCTCACCGTGGACAACCCCTTTATTTCAGGAGATCTGCGCCGAGCCCCGGCTGTTTCCAGATGACCCGCAGGAAGGACGAGTGAAGCAAGGGCTGCTGGGGGACTGCTGGCTTCTGTGTGCCTGTGCCGCCCTGCAGAAGCACCGCCACCTCCTGGAGCAGGTACGCCCCTTCACCCGTCTCTGCCCTGTCAAGTCTCCGTTTCACTGCCCCGCCCCTCCCCAGTCCCCCCGAGCAGTGGCCGCTCTTCTGAAGCGGATCGGCTGCAGCTGGCTGGTGCTATGTGGGCACCATGCTGTGGCCGCCAGGGTGCTCAGGGAGAAGTGTAAGGCTCTAAGCCAGAGACCAAAGACCCGCTCTGTCCCTGTCCTGCCAGAGGAAGGGTCTTGGCTTGGAGGCAGGGGCTGCCCCCCTCGCCC